CTAGCAAGCATTCGTCGTATTGCAATTCACATCGCTCGCCGTGATAATCAGGCACACAGTAACATAACCGTTCGCCATCTTCAACTACACATAACGCACCGTTACTGCATGAATTCGCGTCACAAAACTCGATTTGCACTTCACAACTTTTTCCCGTGAATCCTAGAATAGAACATTTTGAAATCAATACGCTGTATTATTTGTTAAATTTTGATAAGGGCCTTAATTTTTTGCTTTAATATTAATTTTGGTTCTGTTACGAGTATGTTGTTATAAATTCAGAATGACGAAATATCGAAATGAAATTTGACCCAGAGGTTACATTTTTCAAGTTACTTCGTATAACATTTTTTTACTTGTATTTCATGCTAACTGCATCCATAAATAACAAATAAATACAGTTTCATTTAGTATTCAGGAAATCCGAATTTGGAAAAAAAAATTTCGTCGTGCTTTCATAACTACCCATAAGTGTCGATGCGTAAAGCTTTGATTGTGAAAATATTTGTCAAAACGTAAGCAGTACAAGTTAGCTAAAATATATAAGCAAAAATCTTAGAAGTAATTCTTTACAATAGAATAAATGTATGAGGAAATTAAGACATTAACTTATTAAAAGACATGATTTAGAATATTTTTTATTTTATAAAAAGTAAGAAACTTACCATAAGTACACGCGCACATATAGTCTGCATGTGCATCAATACATATTCCACCATTTTGACATGGGTTTGATTTGCATTCATCGGTCTGTTCTTCACATTTTGACCCTGTCCATCCTATGATATATTAATTTTGATTAATGAGATCAGAAAATATTGAAATTCTTTGTGTCTATTTCTTATTGCGTTCTGTAATTTACGGAACTATAAAATTAGGCGGTTACTTATTGGTGACACAAGGCGTAAAGAAATCCAAAGTTCAACATCCAGACTTCAAACAATAATCATACCTGTTCCATCCATAAAAATTATAAGGTATAAAAGTAATATTTTTTCATTAATCAAACTAACATATTCTTTATTTCCCTGAGTACGAGCATAATAAAAATCCTAGACGCAAAGTGCTATAAAAATTACCTGGTAAACATTTGCAATAGAATTTAAATCCGGGTCCCTCAACACATTCACCTCCGTTATAGCAACGTATCTCCTCTGTAGTGTTACAAACTGCCACATCAAGCTCACAGTGCTCCCCGGAAAAGCCAGGTATGCAGTGGCACACGTAATCATTGGTCATATCGATACATGTGCCGTTGTTCAAACATGGATTTGATTCGCACTCATTGTAATTGGTTTCGCAGTCGTCGCCTAAAACAATAAACTTAAACCGTAAAAATCGTAAATCAAGGATAAGACAGTGCAGAAAACATACTGGCTGTAGGTTTTTGTAGTGACACTTCTTTAGGGGCATGAGAGTAAAAATTTTACGGATGTAACGCAATAATAATAATAATAATATTAGCGTCTCGAAGATGAGCATCGTTTTTGTTAAAGAAAAGGGAGAGAGCGATTGAGACCGATTGTAAGAGAGTAAGAAGGGCGAATTACCTTATAGAAATTCTATTTTTAAAATTAAAATTTCGTAAAGAGAATGTATGAAATATTAAATATTTTATATTTTATGCAATATAATTTATTGAAATCTCAAATGACGGTTTGTAAATTAAAATTCCACCGGTATTTATTATCGAAGAAATAAATTTAAAATATTAAATATATAATTTGTATACATTTCCGACACTTAATATTTTATGACAATTAAATTCATTAAATTCCTAACATATCTTCCTTTTTAATTCCCTCTAAGTCTCGGAAATCTAAAGTTTTAGATTTGTATAATAATGAACGGGACTTAAAAATTAGTTTGCCAAAGAAGTTTCACTTCTGACATGTGTACTTTGTACGCGCGCACTTTTTTTTTAAACATGGTGTAAACTGGTAGCAGTGTCACCTAATGTAAAGTGACAGCAGGGCCAACAGTGGTGAAGAAAGAATGTGTATTAAAAACGCTCAGTTTCCCGGGTTATATGGGAGGAATTGCGCTGGAGAAAGAAGGAAGACATTGAACTGAACTTAAGGATTATAAATATAACTGAATAAAATGATATTTTGATGACACAATTAAAAGTTTCGCCAGCTTAGTGCATGACAGGGACGATGCAGAATTAACTAAATATTTGTGTATTTAAAGGAAACCCTAGCAAAATGCTTTTTTTTTTGGGGGGGGGGGGGGGGCCTCTCCTTTTTTTTTTGTTTTGTGTGGGGTGGCCCCCCCCCCTCTTTCCCCCCCCCCCCCCCCCCCCCCCCCTTTTTTTTTTCCCCCCCCCCCCCCTTCCTTTTTATCCATTGAATCTGTTATTTGTAATATATTTTATCAGAATGTGAGACTCGCGAGTCATTAACAATTATTAACATAACAAAAAAAAAATATCTATTTCTTTGGTTGCTTAAGATTTTTAGCAAAAAGAAAAGGCGATTCACCAAAGAAAATATGACAGTGCAGGAGTTACAAAATTTATAAAACATTTAAAAAACCTATTAGGTACAAATATGTCACTAAATAACCAAAAGTCATAACAACCACAATTTAGAATATGTTAACTACTGGACGACCTTTTTTTAACTAAATCATTCTTCTTTTACTGGGTATCTTCTATTTTTAACAGACTTCGAAAAACCTGAAGGAGCGTTCCAATTGAGGTTTAGTGAAACAAAGTCTTATCTAATCTTTATATAAAATTAAACTTACCTATAAATCCCTCAGGACAAGAACAATTATAGGAAGCAACTCCGTCGATACAAGTCCCACCATTTTGACAGGGGTTCGACCAACACTCGTCCCAGTTAGTCTGACATTGTATTCCCGTAAAACCATCGGTACAGTAACAAGAATAGGTACTGAAAGAGGTTTTTATATTAAGACAAAATTAACTCCGAAGTGTAGATTTTTGTGTGGTCACTGACAAATCGATGTAGGTTAGGTCAACAGACAAAATTACTAAATAATTTTCCATGAGTTATTTATTTTAGTTATCAATTACATTATGAATATAAATGGGACAAAAGTATGAGCATTTTCAAAATGTTTTTTCCATATTGTAAAAGAGTGATTACTCCGATGAACTTGTCACTTAACTCAATTTTATTGGGCGGGGTAAATTTTTCGCGCGATAAAAATGATTTAGTTTTTACAAATTGCAAAAAAACAATGTTGCTATAATACACAAACATTATTAATACACAAATATAAACATTTTTATCTTTCGATTTAAAGGGAAATAATGTTATATCTACCTATTATCGATTTAAAGGGAAATAATGTTATATCTACCTATTGACGTCATCAATACATATTCCATGAAGACAAGGGTTAGATAAACAGGCAATACCCGCTGTGACCACTGGTACAAAGACCAACCACCAACCATTCGGAACTTTTGTCATGGCTTTTAAAATATTAGCACGTTACTCGAGCATTATGATACCTGAAGAATACATATATAAAGGTATAACGTAATTATTTCGTTAAATCATTATTTATATATAATGGAGTCATATTAATAAATACATTTTTTATGTTACTGGCCATCGATCATTTTTACGGAAAAAAAAAATTAAGGTACCTTTTTCGTCAAGTCCGCCTGGTTTACTTGAAACCTGTAAAGACAAATATTTTTTTCTTTCGACCGATATATGTTTCTGTTATAACGTCAATTATGATTCGATTAAGGACAGAGCATTTATAAAATTATCGCCTATTAAAGAAGGTAACTGGCACACAAGTGGGTCTTCAACTGCTGTGGCTTGCGTTGTCATGGCCACCAGTAAACACAATAAAATTGTTCATTTCTACTTAGAAGCTATTGATAAAATTTTGACATTACCTAAGTAGGTTAACATGACTATTATTCGATTAGTTGTATATTCTCATATTATAATAGAGTACTTATAACGTTTTTTATTATTTTTGCTTAAGAAATTTAAGTAAATATTTAATAGATAAGATTCCATTGGTCTGTCATTTTAACAGTCCTATAAGATAAACTGACTACTTGAGATTTATCTAAAGTTTTCACAAAGTCACGAAGCATAGTCATTAAGGCAAAATAAGAAATAAATTCCTTCAATAAATTCTTCCATTTAAATGAAAACCTATACGTATAACACCTTTATTTATATCTGAATCTTTCGAAGGTATTTTTTTTAATGCATTTATACCTGAATTTATACCTGAAGCAGGAGTTTGTGGCGCTCGACTCACACCAGGTTTCTGCTGTTCTGAGACGAGCGTGTGCGATACCTACTAAAACCACCTTGGGTTCTAACATAGTCTCATTCTCACGTCGTTTAATCATTTTATCACGGAATGTATAACTTCTGCGCGAGTGTTCTGTATCTCCCAATAGTGATAGATATTGCGTAGATTTTTGTACGGCGCTATCTTAAGGTTGTGAGTTCAGAGAGAGACATCAGTGCCACGGCTATGGAAGGAAAAAGTACATAGAACATTAGAGTTTCAGACTGGCGCTGACAGTGTATGTATTCCAATGGTAATATAAAATCGAACCTTTGGCATATAAAATATGTAGCTATAGGTTAATGAACTCTTCCTTTCGTCTTCTTTACCTAAATACTACATTAGATTCAAATGGAGTAGACATATAATTTACAGACTAAATAAATTTATAAGGATTTGCAGATTTTGACAATTGACAGCGGACTGCAGACAGTGACACTTGATAGTGACAGTAACAGTTACATTAGTGGCAGTTTGGCATAAAACTTGAAAGTTTCAACTTGAAACTCGAAAATTTAATCTTATTTGAACAATAGCCTATTGCACTTAGCTTTCGATCCGAATTTCATTGTTTCCATTAGATTTTTGCTTAGTCAGCTTGTAACAAACCTAAATATAATAGCAATTTCATATCTCCCGGTAAGAAAGGTGTAATTAGAGTGCGTTTTTTATATTTTAAGTGAATAACTCTATCTGTAAATATGGATCCGGGAATCCTTTGTTTCCACCATTGTGACCACAAAGTCTTTTGTACTATTATTCCTGATAAATGCCCGGTTTGCCATCAGAAACTAGATAGATACGACTACAGCCTGTTGCCGTTTAGGTTTGTATTACAATTAGTGATATGTAAGGATTTATCAGCGACGTGTATCTGTTACTGATTGGCCTATTTTTTTCAGAGTACCATATCCTTTCGTGAAAGCGTCTCAGCATCCTCGAGCAATAGTTATGAAACCAACTCACGGGGACTTCCTTAAGTGAGTTATTCTTATGAAATTCCAAAACAACATATTATATTACTAAGAAAATGACTCATAATCTCATGATACATATTATGGTTTTGCTTTGTTTCAGTGACTATTATAATTCTAAGGATTTACATATCGGAGTGACTAACTCTCAGGGCTGTGTTATTGAATTTGGTGTTGAAGGTATCCAAGGTGTGGATCCTTTGACAAAAAAGTGGAGTCAGTGTGACTCAAGCTCTGATTGGGACCAATGCCTCCTATTAGAACAGTTTGATGAACTATGGAATGAAATTTGGGATGGCATTCTCATAAAGGTACTTTATAAATTTCAATGAACATAAAAAAATAAAAACAAAACTTCCTTTAGTAAATGCACTTTACTAAAATTTCATCCATAATTTCAGGTGAGTTCAAGTCCTCTGTGGGATGCAGAGAGATATAATGAAGAACGTCACAACTGCTTTACTTTTGTATTAGCATTTTTGAGGGCTCTAGATTGTGGAGAACTTTCTGAAAAAGCTCAGGACCCAAAGCTGTTTTGTAAACAGTATGTGGTTCCACGCACTTCTGCTGCTGGGAAATACATATCTCTGTATAGGCAACTTAAGAGGCAGAGCTTCTTCATACAGAACCAATGATAGCTTATAATTTAATATTTTGTGTATTTAATATTTATTTTCAGTATTACCTGTGATTGAATTTAGATTTAAGGGCCGAGAATTACCATGCATTTAAGTTAGACCAAAATGTATCTGAAAACGTATTTATTATTTTAGTATGAGGTAATATGTTTAACTCTAAAACACAATGCAATGATTTAATGGTCTAAAAGAGGCTGTGTTAGTTGATTGTAATAATAATGATTTCACTAAATTTTGTTCATGTAAATATCATTTGTGATTATCTTTCATTCCATCCTTGAAAAAATGTAAATTTAATGTCAAGATTTTGGATAATTGTAGGTATGTTACATGCTGCCACTAAAGCCACAATAATTATCAGATTTTTCTACTATTTATACTCACATTTACTCCATTTAAGATAAATAAGTCATGTTTATGAGTTACACTATAAATTGTTTACTTATTAGTCAATTTCAATTTTTTATACCTATACAGTATAACAAATATTAATAGTATAGGAATTTTCATAAGTCTTCAAAGACTGATGAAGACTTTTGCTTTTTTGTTGTATTCTTTAGAATTCTGTGATTTCATGTTAACATAGTATTAAATTATTTTGAATTAAATTCATTATAAATGATTCGGTTTGGCTTTATATGTTTGATAGTTTTGATCTTCCATAATAATTGTATCTATTTTCCACTTCATATAATTTATTACAATTGTCTAATCATCTATTAACTCTAGTATAGAATATGTGTACACATTATACTTCCATACAGATTTTGATAAACAATTTTGTAGAAATATGTAATTTTTTGAAAGCTTGTATTGATGTAGACATTGTAGTTTTAGACACTAAAATAGGATAAATTTTTACACTGACTTGGCAGGTATCTAAAGTTAAAAAATGCGTAAATGAGAATTGAAATATTGAGGATAATTTAAAGTATAGCTAATTATTCTATATATAGTAATCAATGGATATTAAGAAATTCAATTTGTACATTTTCAATTAACATTATGCTTTGAATTACCCTCTGTAATCCAGCGTTAAATTTGTAACAATGGACAAAGATTCCAACGACCCTCAATGTTAGTCATACAGCCAATTGAAATCTCGTCCGCTCATTGTCTTCATGTCCTGAATAAGTCGTATTAAACTTGATAAGGGTAATTATTAATAATTATTTTCCTTTTCTGAATACACTCGTAACGGTTGAGGATTACTTGCTCAAAGTCACGAATTCTTGCCCAAACCAAACTCAACTATGAATTACGAGATGTTTCTAAAAGAAAGACCGAATCTCAGATTTCTAGGTGCTATGATAAAATAAAGTGTTCGTTAATTTATTGTGTATTATTAAAATTCTGTTTTATTTTAAATATTTATTTAAGCAAAAATAATCTATTTGTAATATAATACTTAATTAATACAAGATGTACGAGTAAATTCGTCTGAATTACGCTGATACTTTGACAGGTGCGGATTCAACTCCCACCCAGAAGACGGCGCCGTTTAAGGCGATGGTGCCTCTGAAAATGAAAATTAACTCGCTTGAACATCAGATTCCTTAATTACGTCACACCACAATTGTGCCCTTATACATACAAAATAATGAGCTTTAAAGTGTAGTACCGTCAAACGGTACAACGGTACAAAAAACTGATAAGTGCCTGAAGTTAAAACAGTTTACTCAGACTGATTTAGTTTCTGTGAATAAATGTCTCTAAGACGTGAATATCAGTACCCCAAAAAATATGTTCATCGACTATACTGCATATAAAATGTAAATAATAATTATCCATGTATACAACCTAGATAAAATACTAGTAAAGAAAATTTTAGGATCTTTCGAGACGCGTAAACAAATGCGCATAAATTATTTTGTTATACATTTCTTCATACTTGCTAATGGTCTAAGATCCCGCTATACAACGACCTTCACCGAGATGCTTATTTAATGAAACTTATTTTATATATAATTTAATATGTCAATAAATATAATTCATATGGGTTGCCTAGCAAATTTCAGTCCAGAGTATTTTTAATTAATTTAAAAAAAAAATATTTTTTTAAACATTTCACCGGTATGATTATTAGATAAATTCTATACCAATCGAAAGTATGAAGCCCATAGAATATGCAAAAGTTAGGTTGTTTTTAATCAATTACTTATTTATGTGTTTTATGTGACACTAAAGTATATATACATCTTTAGTATAAAAGAAGGTTATAGTGATACATATATAATACTACCCTGATTAAAAATATTGATTGAAAAAAGTTCAAAAAATTTACTACATGCTAATTATAAAAAAAAATTTTTTTTTTAAATATTAATTAAACATACTCTGGACTGAAATTTGCTAGGCAACCCATATGGATTTTTTTTTTTTTTTTTTTATAGAACGGGGGGCAAACGGGCAGGAGGCTCACCTGATGTTAAGTGATACCGCCGCCCATGGACACTCTCAATGCCAGAGGGCTCGCGAGTGCGTTGCCAGCCTTTTAAAAATTGGTACGCTCTTTTCTTGAAGGACCCTAAGTCGAATTGGTTCGGGAATACTTCAGTGGGCAGCTGGTTCCACATAGTGGTGGTGCGCGGCAAAAACTGCCTTGAGAAACGCTCAGTTGTGGAACGTCGGACGTCGAGGTGATACGGGTGGAATTTCGTATTCTGCCTCGACGTCCGATGATGAAACTCAGCTGCAGGTATTAATCCGAACAACTCCTCTGAACACTCTCCATGGTAAATGCGGTAGAAGATGCAGAGTGACCCCACATCTCTACGCAACGCCAAAGGATCAAGCCGCTCGGAGAGGGATTGGTCGTCAACGATTCGAACCGCTCTGCGTTGTATACGGTCAAGTGGAAGGAGCTGGTACTGGGGAGCCCCGCCCAGAGGTGAGAGCAGTACTCCATGTGGGGCCGAATTTGCGCTTTATATAGTTGCATGCGGTGGCCCGGAGTGAAGTACCGTCTCGCCTTACTGAGCACACCAAGCTTTTTGGAGGCTAATTTAGCCTTTCCCTCCAAGTGACCGCGAAACTGAACGTCACTCGATATGTCAACGCCAAGTATTCCAATGCTGGCTGTGGCTTTAAGAAGAGTGTTTTCGAAAAGAGGAGTAGCGACAAAGGGTGTTTTTTTAGCGGAAAACGCGCAAACTTGTGTCTTCTTGGGGTTAAATTGGACTAGGTTTTGTCTGCCCCAATCTGAGACTCCACGAAGTAGAGTTTCAACTTCAGACACAAGTTTGTTCCGGTACTCATCAACAACTGCCCGAGAAATACCTGCCCGGCCAGTGTAAAAAGTATCCCCAGTACTGTCATCCGCATAGCAATGAATGTTGCTAAGTTTCAACATATCATTGATATGCAGAAGAAATAGGGTCGGGGATAGAACACAGCCTTGTGGGACCCCAGCGTTTACGGGTTTTAGGTCGGAACATGCTCCGTCGATGACGACCTTGATGCTCCGATCGGCCAGAAAGCTGGAGATCCAATTGCGTAATTTCTCGGGAAGCCCATAGGCTGGAAGCTTCGAGAGCAGTGCTCTGTGCCACACCCGATCGAAGGCTTTCGCTATGTCCAAACTAACCGCTAGCGCCTCCCCCTTGGACTCAATTGCCTCTGCCCATCTATGTGTAAGGTATACAAGAAGGTCACCAGCCGAACGACCACGACGAAAGCCGTACTGATAATCGCTAATCAGCTGGTGGCCCTCTAGATACCTCAAGAGCTGGCAATTAACAATGGATTCCATTATTTTGGAGAACAAGGAGGTTATAGCTATTGGGCGATAGTTGGACGGATCAGAGCGATCGCCTTTTTTAGGGATCGGATGTATCAAAGCGGTCTTCCAGCACTTCGGGACAGTGCCGAGCGAGTACAGATACCGGAAAAGGCGCGTTAAGACCGGAGCCAACTCAGGAGCACAAGTACGCAGCACAATTGGGGGGGATACCATCCGGCCCGCTCGACTTATGAATGTCCAAGGAAGATAGTGCTTTGCGGACAGCACGTTGCCGGAATGTGATTTCCGGCATCGAAGAATCACACCGCGAAATGGTCGGTGGTGATCTCCCTCGGTCATCCAAAGTCGAGTTAGACGCGAAGAGACAGCCCAAAAGGTCAGCCTTCTCCTTCGCAGTGTGGGCCAGAGAGTCATCCTCCCTGTGCAGTGGCGGAATGGCGGGCTGACAAAAATTCCCTTGGACAGCTTTGGCGAGAGACCAGAAGGCTCGAGTCCCTGATGGGAGTTGGGCCAATCTCTCGCCAAATCTGGCAATGTGCTCTGACTTTGCCTTAGTGATTTCCCGTTTGAAGGACCTGGAGGCTGAGTTATATGCTTTTTTAAGTTCGCTGGTATTGGCATCACGAGATTTCGCCGCTTCCGCCCATGCCTTAAAGCATTCTCGCTTTCGACGCGAGGCCGCCTTGCAAGAACGTTTAAACCAGGGCTGAGACTTGCCACCGATCGGCACCGCAGAAAATGGAATAAAGAGTTCCATGCCCTGCAGAACCACTTCGGCGACAGAGGCGGCGACGGAATCTGGAGCTTCCGGCGAAAAGCACATAGGCCCCCAAGGGTAGGACGCAAAGAAAGACCGCATCCCGTCCCAATCTGCTGACTTATAGTGCCAAATACGGCGACAACCCATAAAGCGGGGCCGTGAAGGGCGCGTAGATGGCACAGTACTCCGGACCACACAATGATCTGATGAACCCAATGGCGGGTCAACAGAGACTAGATAGTTCTCCGGATGAGAAGTCAGCAGAAGGTCCAACAAAGAGGGTTTATGACCATCCGCATCTGGTATTCGCGTAATCGCAGGGACCATTTGTGTCAGGTCGTAGGCTAAAGCAAAGTCGTGAAAGGATCTTCCCGCGTGATCGGTGGTTTCAGAGCCGAGCCAATCGGCATGGTGGGCGTTAAAATCGCCAAGTATCACGATTTCAGCGGTAGGAACCCTTTCGAGCAGGGAATCTGTAGCCATTTGGATGTGCTCAATGAGTCGGTCAGTTTCGGTATTTCCGCTATGGGACCTATACAGGCATGCGTAGAATCGCGGATGGTCATCGCAGTCTACGCGCAGCCAGAGGTTAGATAGGTCCCTTCCTTCAAGCGTCCCGAGGCGACGAGAACAGATATCCTCTCTGACGTACACGCAAACTCCAGCCCGCGGCACAAATGAATGTTCCAATTTGTACCCCGGGTAGGATAGGTGGGAAGTATCAGCCGGGGAGGATATCTGAGTCTCGGTAAGAAAGAGCAAGGCCGGCTTCGCAGTCTCTAGATGATAGTGGACAGCGTTGATGTTAGAATTAAGCCCCCTAACATTTGTGAAGTCCACGGCGAGTGTGGACGGGGGTGCCTTTGTATAATTGCTCCGTTTGCCCCGAGGACGATTACTATTTTTGTAGAGCGCAGAATTGCCCCCCAGAATACGAAGGGCAGCCTGTGCGTCCACCACCGGGTGCTGAGTGTCCCGGTGGTGGACGCCCAGAGGGGGATTCTCCACCGCGAGCGCGTGTGGTACCCCCCTGGGTTAGATTCTGTTTTTTCTGCACCTTCATATTTCTTGTGTGTGTGGGGGGGATGGGCTCCGGGAATCTCTCTCACCGCACGAAACGCGAGTACAAGAAGGCGAACCTTTTGCATCACTTCACGCCGGTTTTCTGAGAGACAGTGGTACTGCCCCGGTCGTGCCTGCCCATTTGGCTGAAGCCCGAAGGCAACAGCATGGCACTCCCACTAAAAAAGGATTATATTTATTGACATATTAAATTAAATATAAAATAAGTTTCATTAAATAAGCATCTCGGTGAAGGTCGTTGTATAGCGGGATCTTATACTATAATAAAATACCTGAATTTAACGACGTCGTTAAGGGTTGCAGGTGGTGTCCATGTGAATGTGACCGTTTGCTTGTCTTCCTTAGCGTCGTGTTTCTTGTGTGTGATAGTGTCCTAAAAAATATGGTAATTGTATATTATATTTATAATTTCACAAAAGAATAATTCATACTCTATCGGTAGGTATAATTAATAGACAAACTTCTACTTGTCTATATGGTATAAACTATAAAAGCTACGTTTTACAATAGCATTACTAGTGTATGCCTACTATTATTCAATGTCAAGTGTTAATTAAACCACGTAGATTGATGATACATTGAAAATATTATTTTATATTTGTTAACATTCAAATAATTTGCTTAATTCGTTGCAATGACCCATATGAGTTAATTGCTTTGTGAACTAAATGACTGAGCGTGTTAGCTTTGTATCTTTTGTTTTATAAAAACACTTTAAAACACGTAAAAAATTACAATGTTCACTTTGTTAAAAAAATAATACTGTGTAAGTTAGAGGGCCGCCTGCTTGTAGCTAGAATGTCATGAGTTTGATGTCCTACCAAAAACTAAAAAATACAAATGGGTTACGGGATTCATCATTCATTCGCATATTACGTCTATATAATATACTTATAAGCATTCTGGAAAACCCTAAGATACCGATTATTATATGACAATAAATACAAAACTGAATTTATTAACCGTGTTTTTATTTCCAAACCATATATTATGGACAGTAAATAACATGAACAGTATTATTTTTATTTTGCATAGATGAAGTTGTGGCAGTACTATATAATTTAGCTAATGACCTACGTACATTTACGGAAGTGCGTTAAGAAAGAAACAATCTACAAGTCACAAAAGTGTCGCGTTCATGACCTTGCACGGGTTTCCTGAGACATGAGGTCAATAAAATGTGCATAATAATTCATTTATTAGTTATATGCCTATTATTAAATTAAGTTTAATTTTCCTATTTAATAATAAGTATATGGACAGAACATTATTATCCATAAACATATACTTTTCACGTATAACGAGAAAAAAATTCAAGACGCAAAGCAAATTGACTGGTATTTTATTATACGTAACAAAAGTACATTTCGTTGCTTGTTTATTTACATAAGCCCTCCTAAACATTGTACTGTAATTCGTTTGATTGATCTGATAAATTTTCATAAGTTGTCGGTATTGATTAATAACCGCGGCTCAAGTTTCCACGCAAATACACATTTTGTACTATTAATCTAAATAGCATATTTAACATTTATATGGCTTTTAAAAGATCGAGTATCTTGCAGGCTTTATTATTAATATTTTGATTAAGGTTTAATTTGACTTGAAAATTGGTTTTAAAATTCATATATCCATCATCGGATATATATGGATATAGTATGTATATGTATATACAGCATGTTTTTTTAAGACATTAATAGAGGTACTTACTCCTTTGTTGTCGCATTTCATAAGTCTGGCCAAGGGATCGTTGGGGGAGACAGTAAAGGTTCCGACTGGCTTATCATCGCTTCCTCTAGCCTGCAGCATGATACCACGAATGGTATCCGAGGGAGAGTTTCCTGATAATGTCACTTCCATTGGTGTTCCAGCTTTGACGACCTAAGATATATATTTTATTTACGTGAATATTACAAATAACATTAAATTAAATACAATTTGCCAAAAACACGTCGCATTATAATTTTCACATGGATCACAACCTACAAGGTGATCCAAACAAGCAGCGTTCCGATATATTCATTCAACTATAATACATATATACATAAGCAGTATTGGCCCAGTGGCTTAAGCGTGCGACTCTTGTCCCTGAGGTCGTAGGTTCGATCCTCGGCTGTGCACCAATGGACTTTCTTTCTATGTGCGCATTTAACATTCGACTAATTCGACTATTCGACAACTAAAAAGTCGACGGCGTGTGTCAGGCACTGGAGGCTGATTACCTACATGGCTATTAGATTTAAAAATGATTATGAAACAGATTCAGAAATCTGAGGCCCGGACCTAAAAGAGGTTGTAGCGCCACTGATTTTTTTATAATACATATAGTCTTGTCGTAATTATATAACGAATACAAAATATTACATGAGATTTTTGAAGTCAATAATTGTTATTGTTTGGACATTGGATGTCTCCCAGCATTCGACATTTTCTTATTTACTTTCTATAAAAATAATTATTGGTTTAATATTAAATTTATTAAAGTTATCATACCTTAGTGCTGGTGGTGATTTTGTATGGGGCTGGTCTCTTCTGCGCTTCAACAGGGTGGCGTGGAATCATGTCCTTACAAGCGCTCTCTGGTGCACCGCTAGAGTATGCATCAGCACCGATCAGGAGGGCCAGAGCCAAACATACTTTTGCGAATATCATCTTGTTGAACTAAAAGGCAAGAAAAAAAATAACGTTTTTATTGTATTTTTAAAATTTTAAAACAAATTAATTAGTAACGGATTTATTAGGCAAAGGCGAGCCTGTATCGAAAATTAACATGAAAGGAGGTCATGGTCTTTACTTCTTCAATTCCAAAGTTCTTAAAGCGCTGTTCACAAAGACAGGTTGTGTTATGAAACAAATGTCGTTGGAGTGATTGCTTAAAAACTAAAATGTTTGATACACTCGGCGTAAAATTCCTTTTTATTTACTTTGGTATGTATTTAACAATTTCTGCAATACGTTTACAATGTATATATTTTGTAATAACTAATATCTGAACCAAAATTGCATAATATGACAGAAATCACTTTTTTTACATTAATTATTAAACCTACCATTATACAGCCTTTACAAAGTGCCGCGGTAATAACAATAAAAAAATATTATATTAATATAAAAAATAAATAATACAATATATGTGGTTAATTTTACCTACCAGTGAACTTTTTCGCGCGCGCGGCAATAGTCGATGCGTGAATGGTACTTCGACTTGCGAGGTCGCAACTTATAAGCTATATATTAGTTCGACTTGGAAGGGCAAAACCACAAATAAAGTTTATCCTGACACTATTCATAAAACTTTTTCCTCATAATCTTCTTACCACGACACCTTTATTTTTTAAATTCTTCCCCGCAATTACTTAGGATTTAACGTATATTTTTTGCGTGGAATTATTATTTTATACCAAGTCTCGCTTTGATAGAGAAAAAGTGTTGGCAAAAATTCTACGCTCGTAAAAATTTACATATAAAGATTATGTTTATATTGCTTACCCCATGTTTAATCTTTACGTGCATATAAATGGGTATTTCGGTCGGTATGTTCTAAATATTATTTAGGTATTTAAACTCTCATATCTCAATGGTAGACATTTTACTTACCTACTTGTTACGTTAATAATTAATTGGCAAATAATTGCAAATTATAAATATTAATTGCAATTATTTGCCAATTAATTAATTGTACTAAAAGAAACCCAGGACAGTCCAGCGCGTTATCCAGTAACCAATGGACACTGTAATATATGTATGTATATTTTAAAAAAGAAAATCTTTTCACAAAAGACAAAGCATCAGCTTAAGCTATAATTATATACAGCGTTGTCCTCACTATGTTCATATAGGTGTTCCCGAGGTGTCTAACAATTACATCTATCAAAAACACATATCGTTTTGTGAATGCATATGGCGTAGTTAAACGGATGAAAGACCACGATTTCTTCTGTGGAGGTTTTTTAAACAGAGAGCAAACGAACATGAGCCGCCCGTGGAACAACCCGACGCGCGGGTGAGTTGGCCTAAGAGACTCGAAAAAAGTTACTACTATTGCTACTATTCGTACCAAAGAAATTAATTTCGGCACACAACAGGTTTTGTTGTGCATTAATATTTTATGCAGACACTAAACTTATTTAATAGCTATAAGTATCAAATGGTGGTAATTATGAAAGTTCTATTTGTAAAGAATAAGTTATTGGGCATGATGTTATATTATCCTTTTAATCTTTGGGTTCGTATGAATCGATAGAAGCGCATACGTTGATGCGACAGTTGACTTATACCTGTACGAATGTAAAAAAAAGGTTCCAAGTAAACAGGTAAATGAAGTAGGAAAATGTTAATACCTAATAGTATTAGATATAGTTAATAATATTAAATATTAGGTATTACCTAATATTATTATTCAGTAACTAGATAATACAATAATAAATCAAACAAATTATAATTTTTTAATATATTTAATTTGTTTAACAATGAGTGACGTAGGACAATGAAGAAGTATGTAAAACACGCTACATAATACACAACAATAGGGGTTTTCCTAGGTTAGGGAAAACATAATAATGCATACTTTTTCACAAGTCATAAAACTGCAACAAACATCTCGTGACACGATTTTTCACCATTAAGGAAAATTTAAATTTTATGTACCATTTTGCATGCACTTGTACATATATGTACATATGGATATCAATAACGTAAACAACGCTAAAATAACATAATACAAGAATTGCATATCTACGACGTGTCAGCAAAAAACTAAATGACGATCATTGAGTTAGAGTTAGATTATTATGTTAAAACAAAATAAAAGTATGTTTATATGTAAATGTACCGAGCGTATTGTTAATAAGTATCACATTTGAAGTAAACGCCAAAAAAGAAAGTAGAATTCTCTTAATCCACTGATTAAGAGGCTTAGAAGTAGAAGCCTCGCTTTTATAGCTATAGAGCTATTTTATTTGTTAAGTCAGCGATGGTCTAGAAAGATGATCGTAATCGTAGATGGTCGTAATTCTTTTCTTGTTACTCTAGAGTCTAGAGTCTAGACGACATAATACAATAAAACATATTTTTTCAAACGAATATAAATTAATAATAATAATATACAATTCCTGTGAATTTAAAGACTGTACGTAATATATCTTTGTACATAAATGTCAGCGCATATTTACAAGCTATAATCGGAATCTCGGAGCTTGTGTTCCCGCGCTTATACCATCGCTGATTGCTGGCATTGGCTAGTTGAAATTTGTTGTTTCAGAGCTGCCTCTCGTCATTTTATACTATACTACTATGTAACTGTGGTAACGTAACAATACAGATTAATAAAACATCATGACATTTCACGTTACACGCAAGTAGCGTGTAACGTACCACAATAATATATTTGATTTAAAAGGTTGGTATTGAATTAATTGAATTGGTAGCCAAATGTGCTTGAAATAATAGATTATAAATCTTAGTATTATTAATATTTAATGTAGGTGTACCGTGTACCAGTGGCAGGAATAAGTACTATAGACAAGTCCAATACATTTTGAAATGGCATCTTTTTTAGAAACTTAGGGTATGTTCCGATATACACTGCGACCACTGTACAGAGTACCGTCAATTTAGTATACTGTGAAACCGTTTCTCTATAGCCAGCTATACTGGTTACAATTTAAAACGGAACGCAGTCCAGTATACTAGTCAGCTTCGTTTTTCGACACAGTTTTCAAATGAGTGCATCAAAGTTTTTCAATTCAACAAGAAAAACTATTATTGGAGTATTATCGCATTAAAAAAATCTATATTAATATTAACTGTCAATTGAATTAATACTACAAAGAAAGTAAGTATTTTTTAATTAGAATTTTAAATGTTTGTTATTAAACTGTAAGTTATATCAGCCGTTAAGCATTTAAGTGGTTTTGATTGATCACGTGATCAAAGCACTGCGAGTACCTTACCTCGAAAACGCCAGTGCTCGCAGTAGAAGTATAGCGGGGATTTGTGACGTCATATATTTCCCTAGGACGCTGCGGCTGTATACTGGCAGTCCATAGCGGAACGAATTTTTGAACAGTGGGAGCACTATACAGTACTCGCAGTGTATATCGGAACATACCCTTAGTGATTACTGGATGTGAATTGTCAAATTCTTTTTAGTCTATGTGTAACTGGTATGGTGGACGATTTACCAATATTTTGAGAAATTGTTAGCTGAATTAGGCGGGAAGATAATTTCAGCTTGAATAAAGTTACAATGAGCGTTCAAGAAGATGTTTTGAAGATACAAAAAAAATTAACAAAGATGACTTCCGACGATGGCACGGTAAGCCTCAGTCTAAACCTATACATTACCGCGCGATATTATTGCCGACAATTAGATTCCATTTAACGTCGGTTAAATCGTTTTAAATACGGTAAAAATTTCTTGTTTTTAGTACAAAAATCTTTTAAACTGCTTGATTAAATGTGAGCATTTGATTATACCACATATTGGTTACTTATTCATTTATTCACTTGTTATAGGGACAAGAAGATGCACTAGAGTTACTAAAGGCTTTGCAAACAATGGCTATTAATTTAGATGTCTTGACCAAAACAAGAATTGGAATGACAGTGAACGCATTAAGGAAATCCAGCAAGGATGAAGAAGTTATATCTCTTTGCAAAACTCTTATTAAAAACTGGAAAAAATTTCTGTCACCAAGCACACAAAAAGAATCTGGAAGTTCATCCAACTCAAAATCCAAAAAAGATTCAAAAGATAAGGAAAAAAAGGAGGACAAAGAAAAAGATAAAAAATTACCTGCATCATTCCCTCCTCACTCTAATACAACTGATGCTGTACGTTTAAAGTGTCGAGAACTACTCACTCAGGCCCTTAAAACTGATGTGAACATTTCAAATTCATGTGGTTCTCCTGAAGAACTTGCTGAGGAACTTGAAGAATGCATTTACACAGAATTTAAAAACACTGACATGAGGTATAAGAACAGAGTAAGGTCGAGAGTTGCTAACTTGAAAGATCCTAAAAATCCAACTTTAAGGACAAACTTTTTGAACGGAGTAATTTCAGCAGCGCACCTTGCAAAAATGACTCCAGAAGAAATGGCCAGTGATGAAATGAAAAAGGTCCGTGAGAAATTCATTAAAGAGGCAATTGACGATGCTCAACTTGCTACAGTACAGGGAACTAAGACAGAGATGTTAAAATGTGGCAAATGCAAAAAGAGAAATTGTACATACAACCAGCTTCAAACAAGGAGTTCTGATGAACCAATGACTACATTTGTACTCTGCAATGAGTGTGGTAATCGCTGGAAGTTCTGTTAAGACTGTGCTTAATGTAATTCTTTTAATTGGTACAATTGTATCAAGATGTAACTTCTAACACTATAAACTCTTTTAACTGATTGTATGCCCTTACTACTCATTGACTATCAAATCATTCTAAGTAGTTAAGGAATCCTTAGTTTTAATAAATAAATGTTTTAAGTCTGAAATGATTTTACTTTTATTATTAGCTCTGGCTGATTTTAGTTATGTTCTTTGGTCCCATAAATATCTTTGGCAAATAATTTACTTTGTGATGTGATCATACTTGGGACATTTGTTTCCCTGATTATTTTTATATATATTTATTTTAATGATTAAGTTTACCTAATAGATTTGTGATTTCTTTGCTGCAAATCAAACTCAGTACATACCACCATACCCTGTTGGTGCCGGTTCACACTAATTACTTCATGTCATCAGTATTGGTAGGTAAGGTAATGCTTTCATACGAAATGATGAATTCATAGAGTAAGAGATCTGCCTCTGGTAATTTCAAACTTAAGACTTCTAGTATGTATTAATGAAAACAACTGAAATGTAATCACAAGTATATTTACCAATAATAATTGTTATTGGAATGTGTCCTTTAGGACTATAATATTAATTATCTTAATAAGTACCTAAATGACCTTAAATAAATTATTAAAAAATTCTTATATACCTATAAGAATTAACAGTGTCATAATCTGTAAAATTTATTATAGTTTAACTGTATTAGTTATTTGGTACCACGGTACTTTTGTACTCAGGTACCATTTTGAATTAAGTTATTGTCACTCCTATCTGTGTAAGTTAAAAAACTTGATGTAGATTGTAAATATTACATCAAATGAATGAGAACATTACACGTTTTTTATACTAAAAGCGTGTTAATATAATGTACGATACAGAAGTTGACTGAGACGTTTTTTATTAACAACTTCTATAATACCTATCTAGGTAAATATATCATAGTAAGTGATAAGAGCAACACAATTGCGATAAATTAAATACGAAGCATTATTTTACGAAAAAAAATTACATATACAATTATTGTGAACATTTGAATATTCTATACATACAAAAGATTACCTTTCTTTATAAATTCACCGTATACGGCTTCTCTTTACGATTGAGAAGTAGGTAAAATAAACACCTTTTTTCGTTATCACTTAGCAACTGTGTCTAGTTATATGTAATTTTAATAACTAATAAAAATGAAATAATTGCATTGGATGACAACTTCGAGTTAATAAAGTGGACGGTTCAAGCGGCGTCAACTTTTTTGGAATAATGATAAGATCGCGCTAAGAAGACATGTAGCATTATTTTCAATACCCTATTCTAAAATGGCAAGCTATACTTTGGCGTAATCTAAAATCCTTATCGTAATAAATATAAACATCCAAATTGATGCCAGCTTTTACCAGTTGATTTTAGATTTTTTTTTTAAAGATCTGTTTATAGTTTAGAACTATTAGATTATTTTAATCTTACGTTTTTTAAAGTTGAAACTGGCATTGTTTGTATTGTTTATAATTACTACCCTATTTTCTTAGGCATAAAATAAAATTATCACATTACATTCTGGATATCAATATCAAATCTTACTTTTCCTATGACCAACGAATTATTGACATTAAAACAATTTGTTTATGTAGATCAATCGACGACTTCTCCAGTCTGTATTTTGACGAAAATTTTGTTTTCATCGGATAATGGGGTTCTCTTCTGCATATCGAGTTTAATGTCCGACGGCTCGATATTTTCGTCGTCTTCGTACTTAACCGTGAAATTGACGTCTTCGTTGGCGATAAAACATTCAGGGGTGAGATTCTTCATATAATTGAAGTGTGTTTTGAAATGTTCTCGTAGAAAGTGGGATTGGATTACGACTAAATCGCAAAATGAGCATCTATGGTTACTTCCGTAGACGTCATTATCTCCGTGTCTTTTGTAGTGGTTATGAAGAGCATCTTGGCGTTGATTAGTATATGGACACAGAAGACACATATGCATTTTTCGATCTTTCGTAGGAGAAGTATCATTTTGTATGGCCTCATTGGTAGTAACAGATCGACGACGTTGTAGCAAACGCAGTGTTTGTTGATCACTAACTGAAAATTGTTGGAAATCACTTTTCACTCTCGTGGGCATTGTTTTGATAGCTAATTTTATTTGCTCTCCTTTGTCATCCACTTTACTCGTTTTATTTACATCGCCCTCGTTTTCGGTAAAGCCATCCATGCTTTTCTTCCTTTCTGCTTGGGCTTCATCATTCATTTGATGTTTCCGCATGTGTTGAACATAGTTTGCATAATACTTCACTGAATAATCACATATTTCACATTTATATCTCTGCTTAGAACCGTGTAATGATAAATGAATTTTATATTGCTCACGTTTTTCAAACGCAGACGGACATTTATGACACTTATATCTTTTTTCTTTCTGTCTACCATTCTTTAAATAAGTTGGATAGATAAATTCCGGGTTTCCGTGCATCAGGTAGCCGAATTGGGGATCAGCTTGTAAAACAGGAGGGAAGTGATCATTGGGCCTTACTAACTTATCTTTATCGGTAAGGACTCGTTTCTGAGCCTCAGTTTTCCGCTGAAATAAATCTGTGCCCGATAGGGGAACATTCTTATAGTCCATGTCATCCCCAGACTCATAGTCACCTGCCGGTGCTTTACCTTCATTTTCGTGTAAGAGTTCATGTTTTGCGAGATTACCAATATTTTTAACAGTATAACTACATTTTTTGCACTTATGGTCTCCTTCACCTCCGTGTAAGCCCACATGATAGTTCAATGCAGAACTCTTGAAAAATTTTGCAGGACATTCTTTACACGGGTACTGTTTAGGAGTATGCTTTTGTTCGGAATGCTTTTTAGTGCTAGTTTCCGTGTATTCAACTATAGTATTAATTTTTGAAACAACCCAGGACCCTTCAGAAGATACTGGACAGTGAATGAATTGTACCCGAGGAGCTTTGTAATCTGGATGTAAGTTGTGTATAAATTTCAGCATTTTGGTCTTCGTGTTATATTCATCTGTGTGAACAAAATTATGTTCCATCAATTCACTTTCATGGAGTACGGAGAATTCACAAGTTTTGCATTTATGTGGAAAGGTCGAATCGTGGAATTTAGAATGAATATTAAGTTCGTTTTCAGAGAAGAATCTTGCCGGGCATTTGTGACAGAAGAACATAGTTTTGATTTCTTTGCGTTCGCCCCACACGGCGTCTTCTCTGGGTAAATCATCAGTCTTGTTGTGTTTCTCTGCTTCGAGGACTTTTCTTAATTTAGCGATTTGTTCCTCATCAGGAATATCAAAGTCTACAAGACAGTAGATTCGGCCGTATATTTCAGAGTGTGTTTTTGAGTGATTAGCGAGTTGTAATTTAGTTGAACAAGTCAACTTGCACTCCAAACATTTATATATAGTGATATCACAGTTTTCAAAGACGACAAAATGTATCTGTTCATGATAAAGTATTTCACATTTTCTTGCATTTACGTATGAACAATATCGACATTTATACATTTTATGGAACTCGTCCTTAGCCGATACCCATACATATGGTAAGTCATCACTATCATTGGAATCCAAATCTATGTCCGACTCGCTCTTTCTCTGTCCAGCGTGGACTCGTAAATGCTGACTAAGCAAATGCCTTTTAGATACACTGTAATTGCACTGTGAACACTGATACGGCGTATCAGCGGAGGATAGTCGATGAAATTGTTCATGGTACATAAACTGAGATTTGCTGTTAGTTTCATACGGACATTCATTGCATTTGTGTCGCTTCGCTACAGCCGATATATTGAGATTGAGTTGGGAGTTAAATGGGTCTGGTAGAGGTGATTTACTTCCCAACGCTTTTGAAATATATTCTTCTGGATCGTTTACTCCATGTAATACGAGATGTTGAATGAGTTCTTGCTCGTCTTTAACAAAATAGGGGCAGAAATAACATTTGAATATAGACTGTGGCGAGGGTTGATGGTTTTGTAGATGGACCAGTAACGAATTCTTGTCGTTAGTTTTAAATGGGCATTTAGTGCACATGTCACTGTTCATTTCGTTCGACGGAGCGTTCGGGTCTGGTTTGGGCTTCAGTGTTGTAATAACGTTGATAATTCCGTCGTGCTTCAAGCGGCAGTGTCTCTGAAAAAGGCAAACATGGGAATAAACACGATACCCAGAATATTCTAATTTATAATTGTATATACCCATATGTAATGTAACGTTTTTTAATTAAGTATATACTTGTATGAACCTATCTATATTATTACGCATCACCACTATGTGGATTGTGGAACCAGCTGCTCACCGATGTATTTCCGAAACAATTCGACTTAGGGTGCTTCAAGAAAAGAGCGTACAGATTCTTAGAACAGGCAGATGCGAGCCCTCTGGCAATGTGAGTGTCTATGAGCGGCAGTATTACTTAACATCAGATGAGCCTCCTGCCCATTTCCTATTACATAAATATATGTATTCAAGAAAATAGATCTGTATCTACCCTTCGGCCACTGTTAGACTTACTTGTATAACATGTTTCCAATTCGACAACTGATTGCAATGTCCACATCTATATGCCAAATCAGCCGGATCTATTACAGTTTCTGCTTTCTTCACTTGAGACTTGTCGTTCTCTTCAGCTCTCGCGTGTTCTCGAACATGTTCCAGTAAAGCGTCCTTTGACGAATCCCTGGAAATTGAGAAGTCAAAATGAACTTATGGACGAAAACAATTTACATTATTAAAAAAAATACAATTAAGAGACAAAAAAATATCATGGAAATTATTATTATTCTTTACGATTATTGTATATTAAACTTAAAAATACTCACTTGTAATTGCATTTTTTGCATTTCCAAATAGTCTTCTTCGCCTTTTTCATAGAGTTATCATTGTCAAATCTATTTTGATTTAACGTTTGTAGATTAAGTGGTTGTCCACTTTCATATGGAGTATTGACGCTATCGTTGCCTTCATAAAGGTTTTCATCATCCAAACTGGCATCCAGAGGAGTATTAGGATCGATATAATGAAATTCATTCTCTCCTTTATCATTTAAGACTGGCATAGCTAAGAATTTGTTATACTTGCTATAATTACGCCGACCTGTTTCGTCTGTCATCAGTACTTGTGCTTCGGCGTGGTCAGGATCTCTTGCTGATTTAAGTTTTATATGTTTCGTGATATCCCAACGCCAATTGGACTTGTATTTACACAGTGAACATTCGAATGGTTTTCTATTTAAATGCGCAACGATATGCACGTGAAATCGTGACGCAGTTGATGCCCAAAACAAACAGTGTGGGCATTTAAAAACTCTCTTACCAACTGCTTGGCTTGGTGATAGATTCATAGCTTCATTGTCATCAACAATTTCTGAGTCAAGAAATTTATTTTCTGGCATTGTTGAATCATCGTTGATGTTAATATCAAGCGGCGTGTCGAATTTGTTTGAATCTGTGTTTATATTATTCCAAACGAATACAACGTTCTCCATTGGATGTGGTTCAATTTCCTTCTCAGTTATATTTGATGTTTCATTACTATCTTGATTTTGTATGTCTTCATGTTTTTCATCACTTCTCTTCATATCTTTGCCACATGTTTTTAAATGAATGACTAAATCTGCACTAGACTTACACCTATGTCGACAATTCTGACATCTTGTAGAACCTAAATTTGGAAGTAATGTATTGGTTGAGCTTCTATTTGTGACACAATTCTTTTCGTGAACCGAATGTTCGGACAAACATTTGCTTTCAAATCCACAATTTTTGCATATTAAAGACCCGTCTTCCCCCGTTTCAGTGAGTATACGTTCCTTTAATCTATCGAAAAACGATTCGTTCTTTTTACGTTCCTTTCCTGGTATGTTGACAACCGGCGTTAATGAAACATCCATTGTCTGATTATCATGTTTAACAATAGAATTTTCAGTAGTTTCGGTATCTTCTTTGAGTTTTTTGGCGGGTGGTTCACCTGTTTGTGTTTTTGGGTTTGGAGTGGAAGTTAATGGAATCAGTTGTGGTATCGGCCGAGGTATCTTTCTGCAGTGTTTCTTAGAGTCTTCTGTAGTAACATTTTGAAGTTGCATGTCGCCCTTGGCTGCAATTTCTGATGAGGTGGCTTCGTTTGAATCACTATTGCAGTTAACCATTTCTTTTTCAATAAATTGAGACCCCGTTTCCTGTAATAACAAATTAAAATAGATTTTTTTTTTCACTTTGACACGAAGCCCTAATAAGTATATATATATATATATATATATATATATAGGTTTCTTTATTATTTGGGGTAGGTACTAATCAATTTCTGGATATTAGATTGCTTTGATTTCAAAACTTTTGGTAATTAGAAGAAAATATACAAATTTTGTATACACAACAACAATAACGAATATGTTTATAGGCCTAAATGAAATTTTCTCTAATGACCAATATGTTAACAAATTGGCAATTCTATAAAATTTTAAAGACGAGTCTAATATTACACTAATATCGCTTTGTATATTTTGATATAATATACTCGTAGGTGTTCCAATGGCCTAAAAACATGCTAAATTCTTAATTCGTAGACAAAATCATAACTCATAACTCGATATAATAAAAACGTGATTTTATTTATATCATAAAAATGTCAAAATACATGCCGTAATCTATGAATATACAATAATTTAAAATTTGTCCGTAGATATTTAAGTTCAAATTTTCCCATAATGGAGACTTTTTACACATTCAATGTTTATAAGTCCAAAAAAATATTAAGCAGAATGGAGTAGAGAAGGAGCAAACAATATAAATTATCTAGATGCAGCACTATAATGGTTCTATTTCTAAAAATAATAAATATGTTAAAAACAGAAAAACTTAAATCTTCCCTCCAAACGTAGTTGCCAAAATGATGACATGCTTGCGTTCAATTGTCAATGCCAGCCGTCACAGATAACTTTAAAATGTCAAACTATATAGGTAAACAAACGCTACATAAATAACCGCCAGTCAGTTTAAACACCACAAAGTTTATTTTGCAGTGGTCGTTTGTTTGTTTTTTTTATGAAAAAAAAAATCTGCTTGGTAAATAATATATTCCATCAAAAAAATTAACTGTTTACCTATTATAAAACATGTTTATTTTATTTGATATTTGTTGGTGTTATAAAAATTGGTTGATAAATATTTTATGATTAAATTCCTAACATTTTTTTTAACGTAATAGTTTGTTTATTTTATTTTTATTTTTTAAACCAGCTAATCCGCCCCATGTTTTATAATACGGATATACAATCGGAAAGTACTATCAATTATTATTTATAGTAATTAAATAAATTTATCCGACGTTTCGCGTGCTTTACAGCGTGCGTGGTCACGGTGATAAACGTCGGATAAATTTAAAATTATGTTAAATAATTGTAAATTTATAATAATACATAGGTAACTTTAATCCGGTTAAAAAGTTTTTTCTTTAAATTATTATTTAAATAACGAAATGCAAAAAAATAGTAAATCTACATAATATATAATATGTCCTGAAATACTTATTAAAAATATTTACTACGTTACCATTACAGAACAGCATGCATATATACATATTTCGTATCGCATTCATATGAGCAGGGATATCAAACACACACAAGCATGACGTAAGTGAGGATTGCGATGAGCGCAAAAGCATTACTAGATAGGTACCACAACGGCCTCCCAACACGACCTCACGCACACAACGAGACACTCACCGACACACACTGTGAGTCCTGCGAGTCACAGCTCTCTTCCTCCTTCACAATCAGCGATTCCTCATCACAATCCATAGCACTGTTTAAATCACTGCCGCCCACGCGATTACGGCGACTGTTAAGCCTCGCTTGTCCTAAGTGAAGCTGCTCGTGATGGTTTATTTCGTGAACTGTCATGCTTTGCTTAATATCGGTTGTGAAGTTGCACATTGTGCAGTGAAAGCTCCCATTACCTCCATGATTTCTCATGTGCCGGTCTAAATTCCACTTGTAAGGTGTTCGAAAATCACATACACTACACTTTATCATGGGCAGAGAATGATATTTGACATGTTTCGTGTATCTTGCTTTTATATGGGTAGCATAACAACATTTTTCACAGGAGTAGAAGCTTCCTGTGTCCTTAGATTCTGACTTGGCATTGGTGGAGTTTTCGTCTGCAATCTGGCGCATATTTGTGTCATAATTACACTCTTCAACATCAATTTGCATATTGTTGTCATCAACTTCTTCGACTTCTTCCAGAAAATCTTCAATATTTCTCTCGATTTTACCGACCGTGTCGTTGGCTATGGTATTTATATCGCTTTCATTTGTTCTGGTCAAGTTGACATCTTCATGCGTTTTAATATGTCTCATCAATTTCTGATTATGCCGTGAAGCATAGATGCAATAAGGGCATTCGTAAATCTTAAATTTTTCGAAGTGAACATCCCTCGCGTGTAAAAGATATACGCGCGGGTTTTGAGTGTAAAACTTGCATTTTGAGCAGTTATAATTCCTTCTTATTTTGCAGTCGGGCAAATCTGTATCATCCACCGCATCCGACGAGGCCTCCGAGGAAGCGTCACCTAACATTCGGCCTTCAAGGGAACGCGCGACGGTCGCAAACTCACCAACTTGTGGCTTCGGCGCCAAGGTGATCTGTTGTAGCATAGTCCGCTGGAACAAAACAATTGTCGAAGTCGGTTAAACGTGCCGTGTTGTGGAGCGAAGCGCGCGCGCGACGGGTCGGGAGGGGGACGCGGGGTTGGGCACAGTGTTGCAGCGGTCGTGTGTAGAGCGCGGGACCGACGCCGGCTGAATGAGGCTAGCGGCACTCGGCAGGCAGGCGGCCGGCAGCGGCGCGCCGGTTGCCGCGGCGGCCCCGAGGGCGCGTGGGCGCGGGACGGGTGCGGAGGGTCGGCACTCGACTGTCGACGTGATGCTCCAATGTTTTTCATCCTCCGCAGTGCCGGGAGAGGCTAGCGGTTAGGGGAATCAGAACGACGATTGCGAATCCCAGCCGGTGCGGTACCGGCGTAGCTATCTAATTATTAATAGTCACGTGAAGACATGTTACTGCAATTGAGGTTATCAAATGATTCATTTATATTGTTATGTCATGAACATGGGTCATTCGCACGAAAATTACTATAAAGCAATCTTTGCAAGAAGTTAGTCAAAGCGTACACCCGTTTCATAGCAACGGTCTAAGGTAGTAAGATTAATTCCTAGGGATTACAGCATTATAGTTATATGAGTTAACGCAGTGGTTAAACTAAGTGCATTTAGAATAGAGTACTAGTTTCGAATGCTAAAAACCAAACAAAAAGTTAGAGAAGTTCAGAAGCCCTTCACCACATTGTAATTCTTTTGTTTAAATAAAGAAAAACCCACATTCCAAGGATATTCTGGTATATATCCCGTGAGTGATCGAGTCCTATAACCTCCCAATTAATTGTTGTGCATGTTCATTGTAGTACATAATAATTGTTTATCTATGTTGTATCCAATTACTTGTTTTTATCATGAACTAAAGTTCACTGGCATTTTTTAAACAATTAATTTTTACGTTAAAAAATGGTTCAAACTATGTACAGCCATCTGTTTTGGTATAATTGAGATAAAAACATTAAATTTCCCATTGTATAGGTAGGTATATACAAAAACGATATACTCAACACAGTAAGCGTTTGTCTAAAATATAACTTTGGTAGTGGTTTGGTTTGCGTGAAGTACGAAGGTCGCCAAGCAGGCGAACTATATTATTTACTAGTTTTTATGTAACTGTAGTATACGATTTAGTAGTAATCCAATGGACGATCTTCTCAGATGCTACTTACATAACGTATCTATCTCCCGGCTCCTCACTAAAAAGCATTACTGATGAAACCTAAGATGCTAAACCGCATTTGTTCCTGTTCACTTGTTTTATATGCAAACGAAATTTTCTTTATATTGTTATTAATTAAAAACTATAAGAGTAATAATCATTGGCCGTCTTAGGCTGTTCAAAACAAATACTATGAATTATATAACTGAGTTGTTATAATATATTTTATGAATAGTTCGAATCTTTAATGTGTCTATTGCCTAAACACGGACTCATATTCCAACACTGCATTCGAATTAATACTGAACAAGCGTTTTTCATAATAAATCTTTCATACAACAAACTTAATATCATTACATTGAACAAATAGAGCATTTTTCGTGAATTTGTGAGGAAATATATAAGTTAATATTGTTAATGCACCACCCTCGCGCAGTTGAAGTGATTTAAATAAAGTTACGTCTTTATAACTCAGCTAGTGCGATTATAAAAAGTAATGTAAACGGCGGTTGGAAACTTTGTCTATCACAATGACCATAAATATAGATTATAATAAAAATAATAGCAGCTTTGGCTATTCACTGTATTAGTTATCTATATAAAAGATATCAAGCAATTAGGTTTAAGATTATACATTAAAATCTCTTGGGCCGATGTACCTAAACCATGTACGATGTACATGTGGTCTTAAATCGGGTACAAGTGGCAGCTGGCGGACGTCGTGATGGGTCCAGCGGGGTGCGGGGACCACGGACAACTCAGGGCAGGAAACGTTTGGAGAAACTCCCGAGCACAATGGCGGCGGCGCGTCGCAGGGGGAGCCCTCGCAATCGATATGCTGTCGCTAAGGTCCGTTGGCCGCTGCTGCTGAGGCGGATGCGTCCCCCGCGCCCCGAACCCCGCTAGCACACCTGCGGGGTATTTTTAGCGGCGCTGGGGATGCAGGCTCAACTTGACTCTCTCATGCACATTGCGTACACCGGCATGATTTCTGCATTTCTTTGACAGAAAGCAAGGAGGGGTTTGGTATAACACTTGTAATCTTAAACCCTTCGAATCAACTCGACAACATAACATGGCAATTAAATACGATTTGTATTTATTAAACGATATATTGTTAGTTACACATATATCTTAGTAATTCAATCATCATTAATCTTAGTATAACAGAAAATTCGTTTTAAAAAGTAATTTCAATAAAAAATATGTTAATACGATAAATTTAAAAAGTAAAAACATGTATAATAATTATGCATGTAAATTGTACGCAACACGATATTGTCAGAATTCCTTTCACTCTCTTTCAAGTTCGACTCCCATAACGCGAACATCGGGCATATCAAGTCATTTAGAGTTATACTTATAGAGGACGCGAGTGAACTTTTGCTTTCATTTGTTTGTCGCTTAGTCTTGTATCACGAACTTTACCGTAACTAACAAGGTCACTAATAATCATGGGCTGTTTTGTAATTCACTTATCATTTGTAATGCCGTAGAAGACAATTTACGTAAAAAATGGTTTATTTTTGCCGTAAGTCTGTTTCTGATTCTAGATTCACTATGGTTACTCCCAAGAATAAGGACATTGAAATAATATCGCACACGTCTCTGTGGAATAGTGGGAAACGTAAAAACTGGGTTCGATTTCGGTTATTGTTTTGTGTTGGTTGGCTTAAAAGGCGATCTGCTTTAGAGAATACATCAAAAACAAAAGTATCTTTCATAGACTAGATTAACGTCATTCGTAATTTGAAAACCTAACAGGCAATCTGAATTTCCCACGCACAATCAACTTTATCCTCATTATGTTAATATCTTTGCGTAGATGGTTGGAATTTATCTGCGATGTGGTATAAAAAATGTGTTCGAAATTAAAAAGAATCAAAATCATAGGATACATTTCTGCGCCCGATTAAAACAGCTTAATTCACAAGAAACCTTTTCCTCCTTTTAAAACAAAACAGCACAACTTTGTAGACTGTATATACTTCATGTACCTATGTGACTAAAAGGTGGCGTCATACTGTTCTTGTAGGAGGCTGAGTGCAGACATTCCGAACGTGCTGCGTGACTAACCACTCGCAAATAGGTATTGGCCTGTCTCTCCATTCTTGAAAGTACTTGATTCTGTATGACACGTGCAAGACTTTTTATCGTCCACGTATACACTGAAGTCATACGACAAGAAATACCTCGCTAGGCATATACTTTTGTACTATTATGTATGTATATGTTTAAAGTAGCAGTCGTGCGTACGTTATTGTAGGCAGTAGATAGCGCAACAGGAAATAACTTCAGTTGAAATATCTAAGTCAATATTTGTTTCTTTTTGCCTGCTCACCTCTTATGTACAACGGTTTGTTAGTATATAGAACTGGATTGGTGCGGTGGATTTTGCGACGCAAATAATTTGTGCGCCAATTGACCTTTCGTCGGGCGATGTGGCGACGGCGGCGCGGGTGCGGTCGCAGTCATAGTAGCTTCGCCAACACAAGCTATATATAGACGCGCGACAACTCCGTACTTGAAGCGAACACCCGCTAGGGGCCGACTACGTAGGCAGTTTTCCTTTAGACAGCCTCTAGCTTGCTTCTAACCGTCCTTGTGGAGACAGCCCACACCACCCCACAGAGATCGATACGGAGAGATGGTCGCAACATCCAACGCTGACGTACTATGCTATATGCCGTCCCATAAATAACCGGCATAGCCTGCCTTTTAAATAATTTAACAGTACTGTTATTATTAACGATAAAGAAACATACAAAAAAATAATGTCTATATATATGATTATCGCCAGCTAAGGTGTATTAAGTCGAATACTATTAAATAACATGGGTAGGCGACGAAGTCATTGTTTCCGATGTCAGCGGTTCGACTGGTAATTATAACCTTGAAGACTATTTGGACGGATTGAAGTTGCAGTGGCGGCCATCATAGCAACAGCGTTAAATAGCAATCGTCGCTCGGGTAGCGTGCAGCGTGCTCGTTCAAAGATGGCTTCGATAAGGAATGACGCTCCGAGGTCGTGTTGGTGTGCGCCTGTGTGCGTGTGGTAAGCCGGTGTGCTGACGCCGTCCCTGGTTTCCCGTCCCCCGGGCCCCTCACCCCGCACGTTCCGCAACATGTGCTGTGCCCCGATACCGCCGGCCGCGCTCATCTAACACGAGCAAAACACCGGCCCTGGAGATAATGACGCTTATCACAGCACCAGATAGCAAAGGTGCTCGCTCATTTAGGTGTCATGGACGTCTCGTTTTGACCAAATGACCAGACATAAATGTTGAGTCTGTAATTATCGGCGCCAAAGTAGCGTTAATGCATAAATACTAACTAGCGTTACATTCGAACACAAATTAATTTTGTAACAAAACATTCGTTTGTTGGTTACCGTCTTGACGCCGAAACCACTGAAAAGTTGTTTGAAATTTACTAATTATTATTTGTCGAGCGATATGGATAATAATGCACGTACATATCAAATGTATGACTTAACAGTTCGTCTTGGTGACTAAAGACGCATAACTTTTCTCGTTACACTTGTATTGTTTGTGTCGTAAGTACTGAGCAATTTTATGGAAAACACAAGCGGTAAAGACGTCAATCTTGTCGCGAGATTATAGTTTATAGTTGAGATTGATCATAGTTATAAATTATGTACATAAAATTGAATTATGTTTCGTTTTTATTCGCGACCCTTGCATACATTGCATGTAATTAGTTTTACAAAATACTACACACGTATATTATATCTAGCATTTAATGTATAATACGATAGTAATGCTACGAAAGTCCTACGGACTTAAAGCGTCATTATAATTTCCAATAATGCGTAATCATAAAAATGAGTGCCGTGTCGCAAGAAGCCGTTGAAGTTTTAAGCGCAGAAAATTATCACGGTCGTGGCTTGTGCGACCGTTGCCACGAAGCAGCAGCCGCTACCTACGCGTCCGCCTTTATACATCATATACTACACAGTACATATATACAACGCTGATAGCTATATACCGCAACTCGTGTAAACAACTGCCGAGCGTTGCTTACTCGTAACATCGGAAAAATACGACAAAGGACAGTCACTTTATCAAAACAATTAAAGTATTGAAAGGGGGTTCTTACAGTAAAATTGTGTCTTTTGTCACGCGTGGGTGTGGTTTGCGTATACATTTTTATTTTCCTGCAAAAGTCTGCTGAAATTTGTCTAGCGCAGGTCTCGAACCCTCCCGTGCTATATTAGACACACCCTAGAATGAGCTGAGCTACTGGCGGCGAGGACAATAGTTCTTGCAGAGTTATACGGCCGCCATATTGATGTCGTCTGTTAAACGAGTTTCAATGTGCGCAGCCGGCCGCCAGCTGCCATCGTGTCAGGTGGTGTGTGGCCTCGCGGTCACCTCACACAAGCACTAACGCGTTAGCTCTAAATAGATACTGACAATTTAGTACGCAAACCCAATTAGACGAAGCCGCAAGGGCTCAAATACTTACTCAGCATTGGTGTTTTACTACATAACTGAATCAACATCGTATTCAGCTGTTAAATCTTAAACCCTTCGTCTAATAGACTTGCCATATCGCAGAGAATTACCTTGTGCATATTGCACACTAAGCAAGCGTTAACTTTATAAAGGTTTTCTTAATGTCGTATTGAAAACGATTTATATCACGTAGGACGGCATTCACCTTATAACATTCTAGTCCTCTGCGCGTATATGAGCAGAACGCTGAGACGTTGGTGTTGCAGCTTGATCAGCAAGGTCACTGTATCTATAATGTTATATAGTCCGTCGCCAGTCCGCAGAGCGAACACGACAATGCAACATATGAATTTGGTGTCGACCGACGCCACGCATACATTACGCGCCGCCTACAAAGCCCACGGACGTCTATCCGTAGGCATCTTCAAATGGATAATGTCCATTGAATATAGCACTGGCACCGCATACCGCTCTTTGTTGGCCGCCGTGTCGACCTCTTTTCGTCTTAGTGACGCAGATAGGGAGGCTATTATACTCGGCATAAAAGTATCCTGCTTTTATTAAAAAGTGAATGGTGCTCGACTGTTCAATGATATCAACCTAAACCAGTCAATAACATTAAAGAAGTATCTTTAGGCGCATTCTCGGTTGTTGACATTAAAATCGTATTGGGAAGTTGCCAGTAACACGTGATACAATATAGAAGGGATGTAAGCAGGCGTACGTGCAGTGTAATAGGTTATCCTATGTGGCTTCAGAGAATCCCTAAGCAAGGCTATCGCTGATAACCTTATCTCGGTTTGCGGCGGCGCGGTGGCAATTCTTGCCGCATACAACAGCATTTTCCTAACACGAAGACGATGCGTGGAACAAATCTGGGTTTAATAAACTGTAGGAAAAAATCTGAGGTTTTTACTTTTTTCTCATAATTACATGATGACGTGACTGTTATCGCTCAAGTTATAGGTCAATCCTACTTCGTACAGATACGAAAGGTGTTAAGCATCAACGATATCATATAGAATATTCGCTCGGGTAAAATACCAACTCGTCGTCATTCTTCGTTGTAGGAGGAAGTAAGAATCCCCCTCGCCCTACGCCCCCGGGACGACACGGGAGCGACCCAGCCTATACGTAAAGATTACCTATCTACAGTCTCTCAGCTCGCATTTTATCTACGTTGCCAGATAAAAAATTTATCTGATGCTGTACCAGGACCTACTTAAATGTTTACTATATAAAGCAACTATTTTTTAGACATATACATTTAGGTTCCAAAAACTTGCATTATATTTATTACACGAAAACGAAAATTGATTACAAGTAACATGCGTACATACAATGATGTATTACGACGGAAACTGATGTAATGCAATGATATTATACAAAATAAAATCTAAAAGCACTTAATATTGCAAGAATTGTCTATGATCTCCACTGTCATTTGGTGATGAATGAATGCTTTGCGTATACACAAGTTATTAAACAATAATCATAATCGCCATAAGTTATACATTTTATTCACCTTCAAATTAATGCGGCAAGAGGACCTTCGACTTTTCTTCGTGAAACCTTTCAAACAAAAAATAAATCTCCAAATAGGTCCAGGGGCGTTCGTTAATAAGTTATTAAACTGAACTACAAATACCTAATTGCAAAATGCGTGGATCCATATCTCAACTACTGAACCGATTTTAATGCTGTTCGCTAAGTCTAAATACACCTTTATCAATTGACTTTTAGTTTACGAGATTTTTGCGAACAAACAAACAACTTTAGCACATATGCTCGCAAGCCTAAATCGTCATGTCGACCATAAACACGAGTAAACCGAGGGGTGTAATTTGGTACTAATTACTACGTACTTAAAAAATTATAAAATAAATCAAATATTTCCTATGGCCTTTCATAGACAGTACAGTAGAATAAAACGCATTTAAGCTATTGAAATGTTGCTTATCGAGAACCGTTTATGTTCTGCTTTACAATACATCAAGAAATATTCAAAGCATTAGTGGCATCCGTGGCATCATTAGAAACTCATAGCCCTGATCTATGCCTGCGAAGAAGTAATTATTCCAGGTTGAAAGGAACAAGGCTGAAATTATAAGTTATCTTAAAACACGAAGAAAGTACACTATAGAAAGCGGCAAAGAATCGAAAGATATTTTGAGATATTCGAAGATTAATACGTGATTAATCTAACTGGTGATAACGAATAAGATAATACGATTTCAAGAACAATTGCGTATTTCCCGTGTATCAGACTGAAAGGCTTATGAGTACAATTTACGTATAAGAGAAGTGCGTTAAAGAAATCGATTGGTTTAAATATTCTGAGAGAGAAAAACAACACGATTGATAAGTCGATGTTCGAAATACATATAGATAACTTGATTATTGGGTTGACTGTTGTGATATGTTCTCAGAGCGATTTCGCAAAACCTATGGTAATTAAGTTCACAAACATGAGTAATATCAAAAACTATAAGGCGAATAGTACCAAATAACAGCCAAACTTATCTAAGTCCCGGATATTTTGTTATATTATTACATATAATAAGAGTATTGAGCGTTTAGCGTGATTTAACTATAGTTATCTTTACGCCGACCTTAGCGAAGGCAGGTAGAAGCCGACCGTACCATCCCCTTTCTTTAAACCCAAAACTCTTGGAAAGCACTTCATTGTTTAACACACTGTTGCCCGATGCAATAAATAGACTTGGAAAAATCGTAATAACGGTCTCAAATATCAAAGGATTTTTACGCTAATTCATTATAATTTAGTACGTAATAGTTAATACATATGTACGTTTGAACCTGAGCGATGAAAAACTTTTCAGGAATAGTATATAAAAAGTAATATAGTTCTTATAAAACATATTTAATTATACATCCACACTCTCGTAACCTCTGATGAGACATGGTTTTGTCTGCCATCGATTTTTCCTTCACCGTCCGAGCAAGTGTTGCGCACAGAATAATCGTCCACAGCAGGGGTTCAAACGCCCGACCTCGGTGTTCAGTAACTAGGTTAACACTACCAGCCTATTAAATACTTTTTTTATTCTTTAATTTCAACGAGTATATTTCATATCGTATATAACAATGGGCGTAATGCGTCATGTTCGTGACGTAATTTTTGGGCGTTTCAGGCAATGCCAATTCTTTTTAAAGCTAATATTAAATGAGGGCAGCGTTTGAATTGCTACGTACTAATTGTCTACATAATGTTTTCTCATGGGGGTCTGCAATATCTATTTGAGTGCCGTTCCTCAACCGTCAAATTATTTACTCAAACGGCCGGCTAAGAAACCTTTCTCGTATTCTAACATTATTAGGCAGAATACGGCTAGAGCAGTGTTTCCCAACTTTTTTGTGCCATGCTACACCTTACCAAAATTCTATCGTGTAATTAAAGAAATATAAATGACATCTATCACATTTTTCCTTGTTATTAGAAAATTGATAACGATACACACTAAAGTAAAACATATAATGAAAAACATAAATTCTAATTCCACATAATTTTAATAAATTTTCGAATAGCCCCTCTTAACAGTCAAATTGCCCCCCTGTGGGGCGAGGGCCCCACGTTGGGAAACACTGGGCTAGAGTATTATTTAAAAATGTATCTATTTCGTTGTACTTCTAATTCAATTATTTTAGTACTTTGGTTTAG